AAGTAATGAGCAAGATAATAGGCTAATATGGTCATACTTCCTGGTTCTAGTAAGAACTCTAGCTGCTGCATTTTGGACCAGCTGGAGTTTGTTTATTAGGCGTGCAGAACAACCACCCAATAATACATATACACAGTACACACTCATATATTAAGTAAACAAAAAAACTATTTTTAATGTGATTACTCACGATTAATCGTTTGATATATATATATAATTATATTTATTATTTCTATTAATGACATTTTTCCACATACTTCGAATTAAGCAAAGAAAATATCAACAACATAGATGAATAACACACATAGCTCGACAAACAAGATATATTTATTAAATCGTTACATCATATCACTTATTTTGATTTTCATTATATCCGGCAAAAAAAACAACAAAAAAACACCCAAGTTAAAATAAACCCTCGGTTTCCATGGCAACAGTAGCAGACAAATTAAATGTCATTTTTATGCTGAAATTATATATAATAATGAAATCTGACACCGAGTGATCGTCATGAGTGGAGTATTCTGTTCATATGTTCATTAAATCTTAACGGAATAAAACACTGTAACGTTATTTCTCTGTCAGAAGCGTTTCAGATTAATCTCGCAGACTGGAGAGAATTAATCCGTGACTCTCTGAAGATCTTCACACGCTCCTGCAGTTTAAAAACTCAGTTTCTAGAGTTTAATGAGAGTTTGAGGAGTTTACCGGCCGAGTGCGTCGCGCTCATAGACTGTATAAAAACATGGACGTAGTGTCCGTGACGTCACCCGTAGATTTCCGAAGAGCGTTTTTGAAGCTCAAAAGTGGGCAGAGGCGGCCGTCGCCATCTTGGCAGCACGTCACCGCACGTCACTCCCGGAAAATCGAAGATGGGCAAAGAGGCGGGAGCTGGCTGCCTTTTGCAGCCAGCCTCTAGCGGCCAGTTGATGAATTACAGTTTAAGTCACTTCCTTGTTGGCTTCACGAGAGAGCGGGAGGTTGCAGCTTGAGAAAACAATAAAACATTTTTTTTCTATTAAGAACATAATTCACTGGATAAATAATAAAAAGACGATTGAATGAGAGTGATTTTTATCCTGCGTATTTATTTGCTTGGTCAATGACTTTATTTTCTGGTTCTTTTGCTGCAGAGTCTATTTGAGGCTCTTTGAAACAGCTGAAATAAACTGAAATAACTCTATGCTGAAGATCCGCATTAAAAGACTTTAAATCATCCCTCAGCCAATCAGAATCAAGAACATAAATGATTCTGTTAGTGAAACCAACTGTGAATCAACCTCCATTTGCACTTATTAGTATATTCGTCTTGTTTTCCAGTGCGAATAATGCCTAAACATTCTTAAATCAAGATACATTTAGTTGAAAAGCAAGATAAGAAGTCTTGTTTCCTGAAAAAGCCCATTGGCAGAAATTTGTTTTATGCAGAAATTCACTTTTCATCACTTCATATATTGACATATTTTGCATCTCCAGTAAATGTGCACTGCTGTTCAAAAGTTTGGGATCGGTAAGATTTTTAATGTTTTTTTTTTTAAAATAAGTTTCTTCTGCTCATCAAGGCTGCATTTATTAAATTACAGTTGTAATTTACAGTAATAAATTACAGTTTAACAGATATTCACATAGAAAACAGCTGTTTGAAAGTCTTATAATATTTCACAATTTTACAGTTCCCTTTCGAACGTTCACTTCACGTTGTGTATGGGGAAAACTCCTGTTTTACTCTGTACTGAAGCCTGATTTGTTCACATTTGTGTAGCTGCACAAACCAATGACGCTTTAGCCAACCAGAAAGGGCGGAGCTGACGTGTATATAAGTCGGCTTGCAGCGCCATTCAACAGACCATTCTCCTTCAGCGACGAGGATCATGAGCCCGAAGTCCCTCCCCCCCTCAAGCTCCGAGGCCGAAGCCGGATGCCGAACTCATCCGCGTCCTGTCGAAGGCGGTGGAGGATCTGGGCCTCGAGTGGTCAGCTCCGGAAGAGCCCGCCCACGGCCTGTTGGACAAGTGGTACCTGCCGGGAACCCGTCAACAATCCTCTCGCCAACGCCACGCCCCGTTCTTGCCTGCAGTTCATGACGAGCTCACCAAGACGTGGCGCACCCCCTACTCGGCCCGGGTGAATCCCTCTACAGCAGCAGCTCTCACCACCGTTGATGGCGCTGACGACAAGGGATACAGCAAGCTCCCCCCTCTGGAGGAAGCGGTTGCTGCTCATCTGTGCCCGCCATCTGCCCTCGCATTGAAGGCCCATGCAGCGCATCCCTCTAAGCCCTGCAGGACCACCTCTGCGCTCGCCAACAGGGCTCAGGCCGGCCAGGCCGGTTCGGAGCTGCAAACAATGGCGGTTCTCCAGGTGGGAGATCGGGTTGGGTTTTAAAAACAATTCGACGAGGTTACTCGCTCCAATTCGCTCGCAGGCCACCTCGCTTCAGAGGCGTCATCCAAACTTCTGTTCCAGACAACGAAGCCGTTCTCCGACAGGAGGTGCATACGCTGCTTGCAAAAGGCGCTGTGGAAATAGTGCCCCCAGCAAACAGCGAGTCAGGCTTTTTCAGCCGCTACTTCCTCGTCCCATGTGGCGGTCGTTCAAGATGTTAACTATAAAACAGATCCTCGCGCACATTTGCCCCGAGGACTGGTTTTTGACTGTGGATCTGAAAGATGCATACTTTCACATTCACATAGCCCCCCATCACAGACCGTTCTTGAGATTCTCGTTCGAGGGAGTGGCCTATCAGTACACAGTCCTTCCGTTTGGACTGTCTCTGGCCCCACGTACTTTCACGAAGTGCGTAGACGCGGCTCTTTCCCCTCTGAGACAGATGGTAATCCGTGTTCTAAACTACCTTGACGATTGGCTGGTTCTAGCCAGGACAGAACGGGAGTTAGCTGCTCACAGAGAGCTGTTACTCAGCCACTTGGAGTGCCTTGGGTTGATCATCAACCCGCACAAGAGTCAGTTGTTACCCAGGCTGCGAGTGGTCTTTCTGGGAACGATTTTAGACCCACGCCTGGGCGCCCGGGGCAGCTTCCTGTCAGGGTAGACCACCGCTGTGTCAAGGCTGTGGCCCCCTGGACGACCTCTCACCTGTTCCAAACAGGAATGAGGTTAGGCATTACCTCCAGAAGGAAGGTAGTCACAACGGACGCTTCCAACTCAGGTTGGGGCGCCCTGCTGGAGGGCAATCCGGCGTTCGGCTCTTGGTCAGCCCTGGAGCAACGCCTGCATATCAACTGCCTTGAAATGTTGGCAGTTTTCTAAGCCCTGAAAACCTTCCTTCCAAGCCTTGAAAGGGCATTACGTCTTGGTCCGGTTGGACAGCATGACGGTGGTGGCTTATATCAATCACCTAGGCGGTCTCAGGTCGTACACTCTTTGCAGGATGGCTCGTCGCCTCTCGCTAAGGGCGGTTCATGTGCAGGGCAGATTAAACCTTGGCGCAGACATGCTGTCCAGAGGCAAGGTAGCCCCGGGCAAATGGGCACTACACCCTCAAACGGTTCAAGAGATCTGGTCAGTCTTCGGGAGGGCAGAGGTCGACCTCTTTGCCTCAGAAGACAACTCTCACTGCCCAACATATTTTTCGATACAGCGAGATGCTCTGGCCCACGACTCGCCTATATGCTTTTCCCCCGATCGCCCTGATTCCTCAGGTCATCAGGCGGGTCAGGGAGACCAAGTGCTCTCTCCTCCTAGTGGCCCCGCTCTGGAGGAACCAGGCTTGGTTCCCGGAGCTAGTGCAGCTCTCAGCAGCAGCCCCGTGGCCCATTCCGCTGAGGAGGAACCTTCTCTCACAGGCGAAAGGCATGATTTGGCATCCCCGGTCGGAGCTGTGGAGCGTTCATGTATGGTGCCTCGACGGGAGCTTAATCAGCTCCCAGCGAGAGTGAGCAATACCATTTTGGAGGCAAGAGCGCTGTCTACAAGACGGCTTTACAGTCAAAAACGGTCAGTCTTCCTTATCTGGTGTTCTGCAAGGGGTTTGGACCCGATATCATGCGACGTGTCCTATGTGCTGACCTTTTTGCAAGAGCTGCTAGATAAGGGGCGCTCCCCCTCCATGCTCAAAGTATATGTGGCAGCTGTCGCAGCGAATCATTCTCTCGAAGCTGGCCTTTCAATTGGCAGGAACGACCTGATCGTTAAGTTCCTGAAGGGTGTAGATTGTCAGATTGTGCCGTCTTGGGACTTGTCTATAATCCTGCGGGTCCTAAAAGGGCCCCCCTTTGAGCCGCTCAACTCGGCCGATTTACGGCCCTCATCGCTTAAAACGGCCCTCCTCCTGGCTTTGGAGTCGGTTAAGTGAGTGGGCGACTTGCAGGCGCTGTCGATCAGCGCCTCATGTCTTGAGTTTGGGCCTAATGACTGTAAGGTCGTCCTAAAACCGAGACATGGTTATGTTCCTAAGGTGCTCTCAACTCCATTCAGAGCTCAGGTGATCTCCCTATTGGTGCTCCCCGTTACAGATGGTGAGCAGGGTCCAAACATGCTCTGCCCAGTG